ATGTCATTGACGGGAGATTTTGGATTTGGCCCGAAGGAAACTCGTAAGTTTCTTATTCAAACCGCAATAAAAACGTGGGAAATTTTTTCACTTTGGTCATCTCACTAATGATACAAAGATACTAACTAAATAAGTATTTGGGTTCTAATGGAAAATTTTTTCCCACTAAAAACGAATAGTTCGAGTAATATCGAGTTTGATTCTTGGTGGAAACAAAGTTGAGCAACGAGTCATTCTTCTAAATTACGAAATCAAACTTGTTGATTTATTATGTAAATCAAATCTGATTGATTAAACTAAAAAAAAAATACAAAAATACTCTTAAACAATAGTTTAATTATTAATAATTGGTTATCCATCCATATTTTATTTTTGAATCTAATTATTATCCAAATATAATCTAAATATTTTAATTCAATTAAAAATAATAATAATTTTTTTGTTAGATTTTTTAATTTTTGGAAAAAATTTTTTTTGCAATTTATTACAAAAAAAAAATTCCAGAAAAATATTATTTTTTCCAAGTTGATTTTTTTTTTAATTTTTGGAAAAATGTTTTTTTCAAAAACAAAAAATTTCTAAAAAAATATATTTTTCCTAATTTTTTATTCATAAAAATATTTGCATAAATAAATTGTTTTTTTTTTTCAAATTTATGAATAATAGATTTAGAAATACTGTTTTTTTAAAATCATTTAAAACTGAATTTTTTAAAAAAAAAACTGATTATGTAACAGTTTTAATTGAAATGTAGTTATTGTTATAAATACAAACCATTTAAATGGTTTAAAACTAATTATAATTTAATTTCTAAAAATACCTAATCATGCACCCTTCTAATTTTAAGAAAAGAAAAATTTGGTAAGAAAATAAAAGATGAAATTATTATAAAATTATTTTATACTGACATCTAATTTAATGACTGTATATTTAATTAAATTATTGAAATATTTTAAAATTTATGTATGATTTATTCCAATTGATTTTATTTATAAAGAAAATATTTTTAAATATATTAAATAATTAGTATAGCTAATAACATTATTTATTTAATATATTTAATTTTTTTAATAAATCGGATCTTAGAAAATATTACAATAATAGTTTTTATTGATAAAAAATATAAAATTATTACATAGTTAAATTTATCTTATAATTATTGGTTTTGTTTTATCCGTTTCTATTTTAGAATTGGATCTTAGCTATTGTCATGTATAGTTTTTTTTTTTTTTATAAAAATTAATCAAAGTTTCTTAGTTCAAAAATATATATAAAACTATTTTACGAAGTCATGCATTAAAATCATATTTGATAAGTTGAAACAAAATTAAGATATACTTTAAATATTTTTATTATTTATAAAAAGTTAACTAAGCATGTTGCTCACTTAAGGTTGTAACTAGCTTGTTTTGACAGGTGTTTTTAATTTTTTTGAACTGGATTCTAAAGAGCGTTTTGTATTAAACTGTTTTTTTCAATGTAAATAAATATTTTATTTTCTAAAAGAAATATTATTTAATATATTGGAGTTTCAACTTTAAACTTTTTTTAAAATAAGGTAAAAATTATTTTCATCCAATATAACAATTTATTTTTTGTGACCATAAAATAAATTTATATATTTTTTGTAAAAATAAAGGGCTAAGCCAAGAGAAAAAAATATTATTTTTAAACACATGTAAAACTATAATTAAATGGCTATTAACAAAATATTATTATTTTTAGAGTTCAAAAATAATACATCGTAAACTAATATTACACACACAACTAATCAAAATATTTATACTTATTATATCATATCAGTTTTTTAAAATTAAAATTATATTTTAATAAGATACATGTTTCTGTGTAAAAATACTTTTACATTGTCATTATATATTCCTTCTTCTCTTATTTTTATCATCAAATGACAATTTTACTCAAATGTTGTTAGGAAGATCCTAAAGTCTCACATTGGTTGGAGATAGAGCATTCAAAAAGTTTATATAGAGTGACGCTCCTCACCTTTACAATCGGTTTTATAAGGTGAAGCTAAGTCAAACTCTAAGTTGGTATTAGAGCTTATCGATCAGACCATGGGCGTCCACCATTAATATTCACGCATCAAACCCAAAAAGAAAAAGAGTGTTGAGCGTGGGGATGTTATGAAGATCCTAAAGTCCCACATTGATTTGAGATAGAGCATTGAAAGAGTTTATATAGAGTGACGCTCCTCACCTTTATAACCAGTTTTATAAGGTGAAGCTAAGTCAAACTCTAGGAAAAACATCACACCTTCAACTTTTTCAACCAATCTAATAAATATTATTAATAATGAGTCATAAAGAGGTGGCTGCCACACTCCCCTAGACCATCATTTTCTCCTTTCAATTAAGTTATAGCATTTATTGTTTCATTTTATTATCTTTTTATAACATTAATTCATCAACTTATCCATGAGGTCATGACTACTCTATCATATGTAGCACATCATTCTAAGATTTAAATAATTTCATTGACATTCGTTTAAATTTAAATTACACTAAAAATTAATAGACACTTTTATTTCATTTACACCTTTTAATTATTGTAATTTAAATCAATTTATTATCTTATTTAGATGTTTTAAAATTAATTCATTAATTCACTTATGATTATTATAATATTTTATTTTAATGAAAAGTAAAATTTTGTTTTTATCTTTATAATATAAACAAAAATAAAATTTTATTTCTATCCATAAAATTTTATAATATAATGAAAAAGATATTAATGTAAATTTTTGGTATTCAATTAAAAATTAAATGTATATATTACAAATTTTAAATACAATAGTAAACTGAAGATATTTTTAAATTGTTATTTAGAGTCACGGCTTACTTTTATAAAAAATTAATAAATATGTATTGAGTTGTATATAAAAAATAAATATTAAACTATTATTTAATATTGTAAATAATTTTCCAAAATTTTTAGATCTATTTTTTTATTTACCTACTGATATTTATCCCAATAAATATTAAATTATTATTTAATATTGTAATTGATGGTGGAAATAATTATTTTTAATAATATAGTAGTTTACAATTAATTTAAATGAAGAATAAAAATATCTTAGCATAATTTTATTCTCCAAATATATTTAATTTCTTGTAATATTTTTAACTATTGATACAATTATTTTTATAGACAGAAAAATTCAACTATTGATACAATTATTTTTATAAATAAGAATAAGTTACAATTATTTTTATAAATTGGAAGAAGTTATAAATAATTTTATAAATGAGAAAATTCAACTATTAATACAATTATTTTTATAAATGAGAATAAGTTATAAATATTTTTATAAACGAAAATATATTACAAATATTTTTATAAACCGAAAAAAATTCAACTTAATACAATTATTTTTATAAACGAGAATACGTTTCAACTATTTTATATTAATTTATGTTTCTGTTAGGTCTAACTATTAACAATCCAAAAAAATAAATTTAAAGTTCACAAATGATTATAAATTTATAATTATGTGAATGTTAAGCAATTGAATAAATAAATTCAAACTTATATATGAGAATAAGAGACGTGTAATATAAATACAAACGAGATCGGTGCAATAACACATATTTCTTAATAATAATAATAATAAAAACTATGCACATTTAAATTATTTATTAGTTTCATTTATTTAAAAATATTATTCATTCTCACCAAAAGTTTTAAAAAGTAAAATAATTAAAATAGTTTTACCTACATTTTGTCCATGCATGAAGTATGATTTGAATTGGTTAAACCGCAATAAAAATGTGGGAAATTTTTTCGTTTTGGTCATCTCACTAATGATATAAAGATATTAACTAAATAAATATTTGGGTTTTAATGCAAAAAAAAAAAAGTTTCATTAAGAATGAATAGTTTGAGTACTATTGAGTTTTATTCTTGATGGAAATAAAATTGAGCAATGAGTCATTCCTCTAAATTACGAAATCAAACTAGTTGATTTATTATATGAATCGAAACTGATTGATTAAATTAAAAAAAAAAAAAAACTCTTAAACAATAGTTTAATTATTAATGATTGATTATTCATCCATATTTTATTTTTGAATCTAATTATTATCCAAATATAATCTAAATATTTTAATTCAATTAAAATTTTTTAATTCTAAAAAAAATTATTTGTTAGATTTTTTTCCTAGAACAAAAGTATTTTTTGAATTTTTGGAAAAAAAAATTTTCAATTTATTTCAAAAAAAATAAATTCCAGAAAAAATATTATTTTTTCCAAGTTGATTTTTTTAATTTTTGAAAAACTGTTTTTTTCGAAACAAAAAATTTCTAGAAAAAATATTTTGTTCCTAATTTTTTTATTCAAAAAAATATTTCCATAAATAAATTGTTTTTTTTTCAAATTTATGAATAATAGATTTAAAAATACTTTTTTTAAATCATTTAAAACTGAATTTAAAAAAAAAAACTGATTACATAACAGTTTTAATTGAAATGTAGTTATTGGTATAAATACAAACCATTTAAATGGTTTAAAAATAATTATAATTTAATTTCTAAAAATAATTAATCATGCACCCTTCTAATTTTAAGAAAAGAAAATTTTGGTAAGAAAATAATAGATGAAATTATTATAAAATTATTTTATACCGACATCTAATTTATAAATGACATATATTTAATTAAATTATTGAAAAATTTTAAAATTTATGTATGATTTATTCCAATTGATTTTATTTATAAAGAAAATATTTTTAAATATATTAAATAATTAATATAGCTAATACATTATTTATTTAATATATTTAATATTTTTAATAAATCGGATCTTAGAAAATAATACAATAATAGTTTTTATTGATCAAAAATATAAAATTATTACATAGTTTAACTTATGATATAATTGTTGGTTTTGTTTTATGATATTATAAATTCCAACCTATCATATCACATAGGAAAAACATTACACCTTGAACTTCTTCAACCAATCTTTTCTTCTTCAACTGATCATGGCATCCATAACACCCTCCACACCAAAAACCGTCGCTAAAGAGATAGTTACTGAGTTCGGAACATTCATCCGTATCTTTAGCGACGGTTCAATAGAAAGACCATTACAATCTCCTTTTGTCCCTCCAATTCTCAATGACCCTAAGACAGGACATTCATCCAAAGACATCATAATCCCACACAACCCCACAGTTTCATCTCGAATCTACCTTCCAAAAATCACAAACCCATCTTCCAAATTTCCAATCTTGGTCTATTTTCACGGCGGCGCTTTCCTCTTCGAGTCCGCATTTTCTCAACTCTACCATCAACATTTGAAAACCTTAGCATCACAAGCAGACATTATAATATTGTCGGTAGAGTATCGTCTGGCTCCTGAGCATCCTGTCCCTGCATGTTACCATGACTGTTGGGCTGCACTCAAATGGGTATCTTCTCATTCCAACAACACCCTCAACAATCCAGAACCATGGTTGGTTGAACATGGCGATTTCGCTAGGGTTTTCATTGGTGGTGATAGTGCTGGTGGTAACATTACTCACAACATTGCAATTCAAGCTGGAGCTGAATCATTACCTTGTGATGTTAAAATATTAGGAGCTATAATGATTCATCCTTATTTTAATAGCTCTTATCCAATTGGGTCAGAACCTGTCATATAGCCTGAGAATAATCTTTTTCATCAAGTTTGGCATTTGTGTTACCCAAATTCACCTCATGGAATTGATAACCCTTTGGTGAATCCTTTGGGAGAAGGTGCACCTAGCTTGGAAAAACTTGGTTGTTCTAGAATTCTTATTTGTGTTGCTGAAAGAGATAAGTTAAGAGATAGAGGAGTTTGGTATTGGGAGAATGTGAAGAAAAGTGGGTGGAATGGGAGATTGGAATTGTTTGAAGAGAAAGATGAGAATCATGTTTATCATTTGTTCAAACCAGAATCTGAGAGTGCAAACACATTTATCCAACTATTGGTTACTTTTGTACGAGAGTGAAGAAGACTTGTCATATCTTTGTTTGATTTGGTTTTCTGTAGTTTTTTTTTATCAATAATAAATTTGATTTTTCTACTGCTTACTGTTTTAGTGAAATAATAGAGATATTTCTCTAGACTGACAAAAAGTATGGAAGTAAAATTTTAAGTTTATGTTTTATTGAGTAATTGATATTGTATATCAATTTCCTATTGAAGAGTTGTTCTTGAGTGAAAAACGAATATATTTAGAGTTTGATGAAGTCGTTGATGATAGAAAACGAATATTTGGGGTTTGATGTTGGTTTTTAAAGAAGGTGAGATGGATTGGTCGGGTATCATATGAGTTTGTATAATTTATGAGTTTATTTTAGTTAAAGGGAGAAAATTTTAAATTTTATTTCTGCGATAGAAAAAGAGATAAGATAAGAAGGATTTGAGTAGTCTAATGGCAAAGAGACACAAAGAGATAAGAGGAATTTGGCAAGGAGACACAGAAAGAAGACATACGAGACATCTAATGACAAGGAGACACAGAAAGAAGAGATAAGACAATGAAACACAGAAAGAATAGATAAGAGATATAGATAAGAGGTATATGAGAGAGTCTAATAACAAGGAGACACAGAAAGAAGAGATAAGAGAGATCTGAGATAGTCTAATGATAAGGAGACACAGAAAGAAGAGATAAGAGAGATCTGAGAGAGTCTAATGATAAGGAGACACAGAAAGAAGAGATAAGAGAGATATTATTATCATTATTAGAATTAAATGAATACACCTATTAAATTGGTGTATTTAATAATTATTATCATTATTTTTTGATTTAATGTATAATTCGATTTTAATTATATTTGGTGCAATATATCATAAAATATATCGATCATTATATAAAATATCAATTTTCTTTATTTATTTAGAATATAAAATATTTCTATTTAATCTAAAATATTTTTTATTAAAATCATGTTCTATTTTATATATTTTTTAATTTATGTTATTTTTATAAATTATATTCTATTTTATCTTTTTATTAAAATTATGTTCTATTTTTTTCCACTTATCATATTCAACTTTTATCATTTTCACATTATATTTTCATAATTATCTTATTTTCATGATTACAATTTATATTATGTTATTTTTAAAAAAAAGAAAGACTTTAATTTATAATACTTATATTATAAAATTAATGATATCAAATTTTGAATTTGTGATAATTTATATTATGTTATTTTTTTTAAAAGAAAAACTTTAATTTATAATATTTATATTATAAAACTAATGATATCCAATTTTAAATTTATGATAAGAAGTTAGTATTATTTTATATCACTTATACATTTAGAGTATTATTATAATTAAAAAATTACTTTTGTACAAGAGTGAAAAAGAATGATCATATCTTTGTTTGATTTGGTTTTCTGTAGTTGTTTTTTTATCAATAATAAATTTGATTTTTCTACTAGTTACTGTTTTAGTGAAATAATAGAGATATTTCTCTAGACTGACAAAAAGTATGGAAGTAAAATTTTATTATTATTTTTATTGAGTAATTGATATCGTGTATCAATTTACTGGTGTGTGTTTCATCAATTGAGTCGAGAAGAGTTGGTTGAAGAGTTGTTCTTGAGTGAGTATCATGAAGTTGTAATGGTTTTTAAAGAAGGTGAGATGGATTTGTTGGGTATGATGTGAGTTTGTTTTTGGATTGAAGGGTAATTTATGGGTTTGTGAAGTTGAAAGATGATGAGTAATTTTTTTTTGGATTAAAGAAAGAGTAAGTTTATTTTGGTTAAAGGGAGAAAATTGAGAAGAGAGAAGTATTATTTCTATGATAGAAGAAGAGATAAATGGTAAACAGGCACAGAAAGAAGAGATAAGAGGGATCTAGCAAGGAGACATAAAAATAGAGATAAAAAAATACAGAAAGAAGAGATAAGAGAGATCTGAGAGACTCTCTGAGAGAGTGTCGAATGACAAAGAGAGACCGAAAGAAGAGATAAGATGATCACTGAAAAACAGATTTAATGACAAGGAGACAGAGAAAAAAAATGAAGGAGACAGGAAAAAATAAAGGAAAAACATGTGTGCGAGTGTTGCAATGAATAAAGAGATAAGAGTTTTAAGAAAAGATTATGTATTTAATAATACAATTCATTTATATAATTTACACCAATTCATAATTTTTAAATATATATATATATATATATATATATATATATATATATATATATATATATATATATATATATATATATATATATATATATATATATATATATATATATATATATATATATATATATATTAAAATTGACATTTAATTAGATTCAATTTAATTCTAATTAAACATCTAAATCTTGAACTAATGTCTTTTGTGATTTAATGTATGATTCAATTTTAATTACATTATGTGCAAAATATCATAAAATATATCGATTATTATATAAAATATCAATCTTTTTTATTTGTTTAAAATATAAAATATTGTTATTTAATCTAAATATTCTTTTTATTAAAATCATGTTCTATTTTATATATTTTTTAATTTATATTCTTTTTATAAATTATGTTCTATTTTATCTTTTTATTAAAATTATGTTCTATTTTTTTTCACTTATCATATTCAGCTTTTCACATTATATTTTCATAATATCTTATTTTCATGATTACAATTTATATTATGTTATTTTTTTAAAAAGAAAAACTTTAATTTATAATATTTATATTACAAAATTAATGATATTAAATATTGAATTTATGATAATTTATATTATGTTATTTTTTAAAAAAGAAAAACTTTAATTTACAATATTTATATTATAAAATTAATGATATTAAATTTTAAATTTATGATAAGAAGTTAGTATTATTTTATACCACTTATACATTAGAGTCATTATTATAATAAAAAATTACTTTTTTTTAAAAGTATTTAATAAAAACACAGAAAGAAACATAATGAAAAAAGTAAACTACTAATTAAAAAATAGAAAAAATATGTCATTTATTAATTTAAAAACATATTTATTTATATGATAATATATATAACTAATTAAAATTAAAAATAAATTAAACCGGAAACAAATTAGTATTTAAACTTTATTAAGTATAAATATAATATTTTTAATAAAATTATACTTTACGAAATCCTTTTTTATATTATTAAATATTTTTAATAAATATGTTTTAACTTAAATCATACAAAAACAGTTTAAATTATATCTATCTATCTATACTAAATTATAATCATGTAACTTCTTCTATTAAAAAATTCCCAACAAACTTAAAATAATAAATTTATTCAATAATTTAATTAAAAATTAATTAATTAATTAAAATTAATTAATTAATTAAAATTAGTTAATTAATTAAAATTAATTAATTAATTCAAACCCACTCATATTGATTATACTCACATTCACAGTTTCTCATTAAATCATTAACCAAAACTCACAATTTAATAAAAATTTTTTTGACTAATCTCACAATTTAATAAATTAAAAAATTATTCATACGAAAACTCACTGATCTATGTTTACTTCAACTTATTATCTATTTATTCATGATTCCCATACCTCATTCATCTATATTTACTCTCACTTATTATCTATTTATTCATTTTTTTAATAAATAATTTATATTTAATAGGATTTGAATTTGAGATTTTAAGAAAAATCAGTAGGATACTTGTGCGTTCGCACGGATATCAGTATGATACGTGCATTTGAACTCAAATATAAATTTAAACCAAAATAAAATATTTAATAATAGTTAGTATATTATATTAAAGTATAAATAAAGTTAAAATGTATAATAAAAAATTGAAGAATTAATATTGAGTAAAAATTAGAAATTAAAAAGAAATAAAAATAATTTTAAAATAATAATTTATTATTCGTAAAAACCCACGTAGAAGTGTTTCAAATTTTATGATAATTATGGTCTCTATATGGATTCAAGTTTGATGATATTTATTATATTATTTTTATGGTAAAATGAAGTATAAAAATGGTCTTTGCTTATAAAACTTAAAAAAAGATATAATTGAATGTATAATTAATGGAAATTTCTTTTATTAGTAACATAATGTTCCATTAATATTTAACATTTTGATCAGTAATTTCATGTTTCCGTTAATATTCAATATTTTAATCAGTAACTTCATGATCCCGTTAATATTCAATATTTTGATCAATAAATCTGTGTTCTCATTAATATTTAATAGTTTGGTCAGATGTTCTCGTTAATATTTAATATTTTGATTAATAACTTAATATTTCCGTTAATATTCAATATTTTGATTAGTAACTTAATGTTCCAGTTAATATTCAAAATTTTGATCCGTAACTTTGTGTTCCCGTTAATATTCAAAATTTTGATCAGTAACTTCGTGTTCGTGTTAATATTCAATATTTTGATCAGTAACTTCGTGTTCCCGTTAATATTCAATAATTTGATTAGTAACTTCAAGTTCCCGTTAATATTCAATATTTTGATATGTAACTTTATGGTCATGTTAATATTCAATAATTTGATCAGTAACTTCATATTCCCGTTAATATTCAATATTTTAATATGTAACTTCGTGTTTTCTTTAATATTTAAAATTTTGATCAATAACCTTGTGTTCCCGTTAATATTCAAACTTTGCTTAGTGTTGTTTTAACAAATCAAGAAACATGTTTAGAAGGTTTGAATACAACTTCTTCAGATCAAACATTGATTAATGATATATCATCAACAATCTATAACGATGCAAAGATTCATAGTGTGTCACTTACACTTTTTTTAAAGGATCGAGTTGGTGATAACAAGAAACAAACATCATCGTCACAGAGTGTAAGAAACCTAGGTTTTCGTAACAGTCGTTTACCGTTAAACATGTCAGATAAAGTACGTGCACGTTATGATTCGGCTAGAAGACATGGGAGAAAGCTACTACAAACGATTGATGAAAGTGTAGTAGTGAGTAATATTGTGATTGTTGATCAAAATAGAAGTGGATATTTTACAATT